ATGACAACAGTCCAGAATAAGAGCTGCACAGCAAAGTGGACTGGGGGGCAGGGGAGAAAACTATGCAACAATGAAAGATTTTTTTTTCCAAAAAGAAAAGCAAACTGGGGTGGCAGGGAGGAAAATGTGGAACAATGAATGAATGAAAATCCAAGTTCTCTATAAACTTTCATTAAAATCTTAATTAAAATTAAAAAAATTTAAAAAGAAGATGAAAGGATATACATAGTCACTGTAGCAAAATGATTGGCTGACACAGAAGAATTTAATGAAATTACATATGATCAAGAGACAATGGTGATAAAAAAGAAACTTCAAGCTACTCTGAAGGAATTGGCAAAAAACAAGTCCCCAGGAATTGATGAGATCTCAACTGCCATATTTCAATAGACAGATGCTACTCTGGACATGCTCACCAGAAATCTAGAGGACAACTACTTGGCCAAATGATTGGAAGGGATCCATATTTATTCCTATTCCAAAAAAGAGTGATCCAACAGAGTGTGGACATTATCAGATAATATAGCTAATATCATACACAAGGAAGAGCCTGCTGAAAATGATCCAAAATGACTGGAACAGTACACTGTCAGGGAATTACCAGAAATATAAGCTGGGTTTAGAAGATGTCATGGCACTAGAGACATTATTAACAATGTCAGATGAATCTTGGCTGAAAGCAAAGAGTACCAGAGGAATGTCTACCTGTGTTTCTTTGACAAAGGCATTTGATTGCGTGGATCATGACAAATTATGTATGCTTAACTTTTAGAAGAATGGGAATTCCAGAACACTTGATTGCACTCATGTGAAACCTATACTTGGAACAGGAGACAGTTATCAGAACAGAACAAGGAACTCTGCATGCTTCAAAATAGGAAAGGAGTGCATTGGGAATGTGTCCTGTCTCCATAACTTCTCAATTTTTCTGGACAACAGACCATTTGGTAGGCTAGATTTTATGCCACATTTTATGTGGCATCAGGATTGAAGAAAGACTCATCAAAAACCTACATTATGCATATGACACAACCTTGCTAAAACTGCAGAAGTCCTGAAGCCTTTGCTTCAGTAGATCAAGGCATTCAAATATGGATTGAAGCTCAGCATCAAGAGCACAAAGATTCTCACCATTAGGTTAATTGGCAAATTGAGGTTGTTACCAATTTTGGCTTGCTTGGCTCAACAATCAACACTCTTGCAATCAGGAAATAAAAAAAAAAGAATTTCATTGAAGAAGACTGCTGTTAGAGACATCTCCAAAGTGCTAAAGAGCAAAGATGTCAGTCTAGAGACTAAGGTGTACCTGACCCAGGCCATGGTCTTTGCAATTACTCGCTATGAATTAGACAGCTGAACAAAGACTAAGGATGATAAAAGAAGAATTGATGCCTTTGATTTGCGGCACTGGAGAAACTATTGAGCCACGGACTGCTAGGAGAACAAACAAGTCTGTCTTAGAGCTATGAAACCAAAATTCTCCTTGGAGGCAAAGATTTTGAAGCTCTGTATCACATACTTGGGGCATGTCACCAAGAGGGACAAGTCCTTAGAGGAGAAAATCATGCTTGGGAGTGTGGAGGGACAGTGTAGGAGAGAAAGACCTTGGATGCAATGGATTGACAGGGTAACTGGGGTAATGGGGTAGGTGTATCAGACTCAATGTGAGTCAGGATAGGGCAGGGCTCAGCACTATTGTACATAGGGTAGCTATGAGTTGCAGGCGACTCAATGACACATAACAATGGCAGTAAAATAATCTGGTGATAAGGAGAATATGGTAGAAGAAGTGTGATTCTAAATCTATATATACTCTTTAAAATTTTAAAACCTAACTTATTTCTTAAAAAAGTAAACACAAGTTTGAATCTCTGAATAAATTAATACTGCTAATTTTCCAACAAGTTTTCTAGCATTTCTCCTAATCTGTCTCTTATCTCCCTCCATGCAGTGTCTGAATTTACAGTGAAAGGACCAGCTGAACCTGTTGTAGCCTTGCTCGGAGCAGATGCCACTCTGCCCTGCCAGCTCACACCTGAGCAGAGTGCAGCTTACATGCACATCCGGTGGTATCGAACTCAGCTGTCCTCTGCTGTGCTTGTGTACTATAATGGACAGGAGCAAGGTGGAGAGCAGATGTTGGAGTACCGAGGCAGGACCGAATTGGTGCGAGATACCATAAACAAGGGGAGTGTAGCATTGAAGATACAGCGTGTCCGCACCTCGGATAATGGCCAGTATCGGTGTTATTTTAAGGATGGTGATGCTTCCCATGAGGCCATTGTGCAGTTGAATGTTATAGGTATGTTAGCTTGGTACATAGTATGTGTGTTTTGCTGTTAAGACAAGACTAAATTGAGGACATATGGATTCCTAACTTGGCATTTCAAATGATCGTCAATAAATTGACAAATTTAAGTCTCTAAAGCTCCACAAGGGAAGTTTCTGGGGTCCTTTTTGCTATGTGTTACTGCTCTTTTGCCTTTCAATAGTGGGTGGGTGGTCTAGAGTCTTAAACTAAGGGGAAGTAAGGGCTGAGCCTGCGGAGCTTGCTCCAGTTGGTATTGTTTTTGGTGAAACATTCTTCTAGGTCATTTAGCCCTGGTGTGTCCACTTGCCGTACAGAGGTAGCTGGTGGTCGCTGTGAAGCTGAACACCATGACACTGACGTGTCAAATGCGATAATGGTTACCCATGGTGGACAGTGTTTGGTGGTGCTCCCCGGTTTAAACAAGCTTGGAAGCAGGAGTGGCATCCACCTCTATAAATAGCTTGCCTCCAGAAACCCTATGAACCTGGAGAAAGGATGAAAGCCGCGTAAGTGTTGAGGACTTTCATTCATAGGGTCACTATGAATTGCTTACGACTAGACAGCACTTAACAACAAACAACAACAAAGCTCCACAAACAAACTCTACCTTGCAGAATTCTAGAGTGTACAGTAAGGGTAAGATGATATATTGTATTCTCTTAAATACTAAGGCAGGTGGTATCAAAACCTATATTCGATCTGCTAACAGACCCCAGAAAGTCAATTCACTAGTATTGGTTCCAATAAGTACTAATACCTTTAACCATTCAATTTTACTGAATCATTTTCTTATTTTAATTCATATTTTTTTTCTCTTTTTGGAGTGACTCCAGAATTATTTCAGTCCAAATATAGTACAAAGACTATTTCATTTAAAATGGAGTCACAGATCAGTCTAAAGCTGTCAATGAACAGCTCCTTAAACCTTGAGCTGCAATTTACTGGTCAATCTACTGAAGAGAAAAGTTTGATCCTCAGTCTTGTTGCTCACAAGCCTTATGAAAATACTGTCTCTCCTCAGGCTTGGGTTCTGTTCCAGATATTTACATGGCAGGGCTTGAAAATGATGGAATCAAAGTGTTATGTTCCTCAAAAGGCTGGTTCCCCAAACCTACAGTGAAATGGAGAGACATGGCGGGAGTGAAATCATCCCTCTTTGAATCTCAGGATCAAAATGAAGATGGGCTCTTTAAAGTGGAGGCATCACTTGTGGTCACAGACAGCAGCCTGGACAATGTGACCTGCTCCATCCAGAATCCTTTATCTGGCCAAGAGAAAATGTCAGCCATCTTCCTCCCAGGTTAGTGAAACTCAAACCATAAGAAAAAAAATTAAAGGATGGTATTAAAGGGTAGAAATTAGGGGAAAAGAGGAAGAATTGCTAAAGGGAGCCATAGAGGCATCAGGGCTTCCTCTTGGTTGACATCTGACTTTGTCTCCACCTGCCTGTTTCAGAGCCCTTCTTCCCCAGGGTATCACCATGGAAGACAGCCCTGGCTGGGACCTTACCTGTGCTGGTGCTCCTTCTCACTGGGATAGGCTACTTTGGATGGAAAGAACATAAAGCTAAAGAGGTAGAAATAAAGAAAAAAGAAGTAAAAGCTCAGGAAAGCAAGCAAATGAAACTTGAAAAGGAAGCTGCAATTAATCAAAGAGGTAAATTAGGGCAGCAAATCATAAGAGGTTTATTTAAAAAGTAGTATATATAGGTAGTACTGGGTGTTTAGGAAAGTCACAGGTTGCTCAAGAGTCCCAAGGAATATATGAGATATCAAGTGTTCTAAGAGCTGGAAATCCTGTAGAGAGGAGAACCATGTGGGGATGCTATGTTAGTGGGCTGAATCCATGAGTTGTTTAAAGTGTGGTCCCATAAACACACACGAGGCTCTTTAATGCCTCTGTATTGCTGTTTCATCTTGTGGAAATAGCTTTTCCTACTTTGTCTCTCTATAAAACCTAAAAAACAGGCTTTATAAATACCAAAGAAATCTCCATACTTCCTTAATGTTTGGGCACTTCTTCCTCAGTGACTCCCTAGCACTTCCAATGCAGCTTTATATAGTATTCACTGTTTCTTATTTGATCATTTAGTCTTTCTTATCTACTTAACTTTAAGACCTTCAAAGGAAGGTCACATGGAACTTACTCCTTAAGATTAGGGGCAGATAGAACTCAATTTGATAGCTTTTATGTCTTCTCTTGTTTCAGAGACCCTGAAGAAAGAGCTTGGTGAGTCTTGCTTGTTATGTTGAGTTGTGTAGAATCTACTTCCCCTTTACCATTTTGTTCTGAATATTTCATTGACTTTTTATTTCTTTCAGAACAACGAAAAGCCTTATACAAAGAAGGTAAGAGACTCTGGATTTCCAGTGTCACTTGATATCCTAATTCCCAAGAATGTCTCAGTACTCCCTACTTAGAAGAAAAGAGTAAACAATTTTATGGTACCAAATGGACTTGAGCATGCCAGAGATTGTGAGGATGGCACAGGATAAGACAAGGTTCCATTCTGTTGTTCATAAGTTATTATTAATTGTAGTTGTCTTGATGGCAATAAAAACAGTAATGGAAGAAAAAGAAAAGGAGGGGTGTATGGGGGCTCAGTTGAATGGCTTCCCTGTCTTACCTTCTGCTTATTGTTCTATTACAGATTGGAAAAAAGCCCTTCTATATCCTGGTAAGTAACACCTTGACCTTAAATCTTGTGAAATGACTCAGAGATTCTGAGTATAATATGCAGATACACATACTCATACACAGACACATACACAAATATCCCTCTCTTATACTTTTCCTCCACCCCTACTTGTCTATTAAAAGTTGTGGAAACTGATATGTTGTCATTCTGTGATATTTTATTTTGAGGCTCTAATAATCAATTATTTTTTTTCAAAGCTAAAGAAAAAGGAGAAATAGCTGCTACTGATAAATTCCACAGTAACACACCAGAGTGAGACTCAACATGAATTGTTTATCCATCACTATGAAGAGAGGATGCATAGTCTCACAAACTTTGTCATGTTGCTAGGATAGGCTCTTCCTTGGAAAAGGACATCATGCTTGGAAAAGTGGAGGGTTAGCAAAAGAGAGGAGGACCCTCAATGAGACGGATTGACACAGTGGCTGCAGCATCAAGTATCTCAGAGATATTAAGAATGACACGGGATAGAAAAGTAGGGTTCAGATCTGTTGGTCATCAGGTTGGTATGAGTTGTACTCAACAACACTTAACAACAACAATGGAAGGATTTTAATGAGATTTTAGGGAAAGAAGTAATTATTTATTATCCCTTCGTCTTCACTTCTGATATATTTGAAGCACATGTGAAGCTTAAAAGTGTAGATAATGTATTCAAACTTTTTCTATTTGTAAGATATATTATTTTTATATAATCAAGATAAAAGCAGTAATGTTGGAGATAGAAAGAGCCCAGGTCCACGGACCTTGGCCTCATGAGGTGGCCCAAAGCCCAAACTTTCCACAGGTATCAGAGGCCAACATTGTGGGGAGGGGCATTGTAGTAGCATCTGAGTAGCCCTGTGAAGAGAGTACTTATGAGAACCAAATTGGAATCTCCACTGAATGAGAACTACCCATGAGCCCTTCCACCAATACCATGTGCTGTTCAAGAAGATATTCCACTTAATCATCCTAAAAAGCAGTAGCCCAGGGCAAAGAACACAATAGAATCTTGTTAATGATCTTGACAATAAGATGGCTTGGACCATGAGAACGATGAAGCATGCTGAGGTCTCCTACAAACTGATTTCATCAGTTGATCCACAGTTCTTCAAACACACTAAAATGGATGACCAAATCTACTCTGAGTTCTAGGAAAATTTTGAGATACTCAGAATATATATGTTGGACCCAGAAGAGCTCAAATCTAAATTGGCTAAAGAAGAGTAGAGGCCATTCTGCTTACAGTTTAATGGCATTGTAGAAGACTCTGGCTATGGCACCTTGCTGCAATGAGATTGCTCTCTGGATTACACTGAGAAAAACATAGTCTTTACCCCTAGAATACAATTTTTGGATAGAACAAAGAAGTTTACACCAGTGTGCAGGACAAAGTAGAGGAGATAGGAACTGACAGGAGAGAAATTGAAAATAAAGGAAAGAGAAAAAAAAAAGCAAAGAAATCAACAAAGGCATCGTAGCAGGTATATGAGAGAGACAGACAATAGCACTGTGGAAGCTAGGACTTAACTGAGTCTACAAATAACACAGTGTTATTTGCTCAGACCACTTTGGTTAAATGTATGTCCTTATGTAATTGAAAGTCATATAGAAGGATATAATTTTAGCCTAACAGTCAGGAGTTACTCTTGTCAATTACTTGTATGAAGTGACTTATATGCCTGCAATCTCATTTCATTACATTTGGTTCTCACCACTGATTAAGTAACAAATTTTGTAAATAAGTTTCATTCAGTTATTAAAAAACAAAACCCAGTAATGTTCATTCAACATGCAAGAACAAAAATCTTTAAAATTTGAAGGGAAGTCGGTTTGAAATATTTTCACATGTAAAACATACTTACCTTGTGGTGGAGAAAATACAAAATTTTTATACTTTCTAATATTAGGATAGTTATATATATATATAATCAAAGAGAATTGGTATCCCAGAACACTTGATTGTGCTTATGTGAAAACCTATATTTGGACCAGGAAGCAGTTCTCAGAAAAGATCCAGGAAATACTACATCTCACACATTTTAGGCATGTGACCAGGAGGGACCGCTCCTTGGAGAAGGACATTATGCTTGGAAGAGTGGAGAGACAGCGGCAGGAGAGGAAAACCCTGCATGAGACAGATTGATACAGTAACTGGGGAAATGGGATTAGATGTGTCAGAATCAGTAAGACTGGCCCAGGAGAGGGTAGGCTTCAGAGCTGTTGTACATAGGGTTGGTGTGAGTCACAGGTGACTCAACAGCCCATAACAACAACAACAACAACAACAACAACAACAACATATAGAATTGATGCCTTTGAATTTTGATATTGGAGAAAATGACTGAATGTTCCATGCACTTCCAAAAGAACAAAAAAATATGTTTTGGAGAAGAAGAACCAAAGTGCTCCTTAGAAGCAAAGGTAGCAAAACCTCATCTCACATACTTTGGCTATGTTGTTAGGAGGGGTCATTCTTTGGGAAAGGACATCATTCTTGAAAAGGTGAAGAGTCACTGAAGGAGAAGAGAATCCTCAATGAGATAAATTGATGCAGTGACTGTAAAAATGGGCTCAAGTATATTAAAGGTGATGAGGCAGGTTCAGATTGATTGTATATAGGGGCACTATCAAGTCAACTTGACAACACCTAACAACAACAAAAACCCTACCTGAAGGTCTGCTATGGTCCTCCTTGATGGCAATGAGTTGAGTTCTGACACTCTGAGCGTTATTCAGGCTACTCCAGACAGACTCCAAACCTGACTTAGTCTAGAGAAGTTTGTTACCCCATGCTTGGGCTAACCTAAGACATAGCAAAGACAAGATACCATTTATCATTTAGTTTCTGTACATTATGAGGATTTGAGACATGTGGAGGAGGGAGTTATTGAATTGAAAGGAAAAAGTTAAGAACCAGGGAAGGACCTGTCTTAGTTTCTTTTCCTTTCTTGAGTGTTTCTATCTCAGTCTCAATATAAATTGTTCTTTTTCAGATTGGAGGATGGAACTGTTCAGTCCTGGTGAGTGTTTTGTGGTTCCGAATTTATCTTTGTAGTTTTTTCCAAGCTAATCTTTGATATCCTGCTTTTGCTAGAATTAGCCAGTCTTATTGAGCTTCATATTCATCTAATGGCCCAGCTTTCATATGTTTGGGGTTTATTTGGTTCTAAAACCAGAAACTAACATAGGCTTTTTGCTGTATGAAAGCTAAGTTTTCCAATTTAAAAAAAAAAAAAACGCTCAGAATTGCAAAATTAAAGCAACTTCTCTATTCAACAGATCAGCTTGTATAAGACCTATTATGAATTGAGTACCATGGATATAACTTGTAGAGGAAATTGGAAAGAAGCTGTCCTAAGTAAACAATGTGAGCAAGTCCATTCACATTACACTAAATCTGTGAGAGTAGCATAAAATAGGTAAACTAAGTATGTACAAACTCTAAAAAGAAGTGCTCTTTCACCACTCACACCACGTTTATTCTGTTTCTTTAATGTTTCTGAAATACAATGGTGACATTTCTTTATAAAACATTACTGAAGGTGACTATATCTACTCCTAACAATGAGAAGATAAGCTTCCTTGGGCTACTGTATCCTTACTTTTAGCTCTCATCATTTGCCAATGTTTATTGAACCTTTCCTTTTTTTACCTTTCAGCCACTGTGACCATCAAAGGTGAAACTTTGCCTCAGAACAATTCAGATCCAGATAACAAAGAAAGTGTCAGAGAAGAAACAAAGGACCTATCTTTCAGTAATAAGAGAGTAGATGACAATTTTATAATCCTTCATCAGGGAAATTTTACCTCAGGAAGATATTTCTGGAAAGTGGTTGTTGGGGACACAGACGAGTGGGCTCTTGGCGTTGTTGAGGACACATTGCAAGATACATCATCAAACATATTCAGAGTCTTAGAGAAGAAGGGAGACCAATACAAGGCTTGCACTTATAATTCTAAAACCACTTCTGAAGAAGTATCACTCTCGAAAGAAGCATTTTCACAAGTGATTGTGGTTTTCTTTGATTATGAGGATGGTGACATTTCTTTCTACAACATGACTGAGGGTACTCACATTTACTCCTTCACCAAGTTGAGCTTTTCTGGGTCACACTATCCTTACTACAAACGTAACTCTACAGAGCTCTCATAATTTGCATAATGACTCTGAGGAAGACTTCTGCTAATAATACAATAGCACATTGTTTATAAACTCTAGAATCTTCTAAGAGTGAGTCCACTTTTGATTGACTGACTTCAATCTCATTAATTAGGTGACCTTGTAGGAGAAAGCTCTGTAAGTTTGCATAAATAGAGTTTCTGATCTCTTTACCCAGTGCTTCTTAAAAAAAAAAGGGGGGGGTATCTAAGGCTGCATACCCAATGCTTCTTAAAAAAAAATGGAAGGCTGCATAGTGGAGTGGACTTGGGGGAAGTATTTGTATAACAATGAAATAATTTTTATTTTACTTTTCAAAGAGAAGAGCGAACTGGGTGGAGATTGGGCAGGGAGAAAAGTGCAACAATGAATGAATGGAAACCCAAAGTCTCTGTAAACTTTCATTAAAATTAATGAAAAAAGAAAATATTGATTTTGCTTTGTATCAAATCATCACAGACGAATAGTTTTGACAAATGACAAGAAAACCACATGTGAACAAAAGAAGCCAAAATTATAAATAATTGTTTTATCAGACTTGACATAAATAAAATGATCCTTTTAATTTTTATCTTTAAAGATGTCTTGGATTTACTCTCCATTTTTCTACTTGTTTTATAAAGTAATACTTGTCAAAGTTAAAAAAGTGCTTAAGAAGTAAATCTGGCAGAAAGGGTATACTCAAATATTTTCCACTAAGTGATTAAAAAAATTGTAGGACTCCACTCCATCAAAGGTGAAAAACTTATGAGAGCTTGAAAACAAGGCTATTTCTTTAAGTTCCAGCTCTCACAGGTTTTACAATAGTAAAACAAGAGTTTTCACATGGTCACAGTTCTGTGAACCATATTTCGGGTAGAGTTTCTAGAACAAAGTTCAAATATATAAGAATTAGGTAAGCATCACATTTCTCAACAACAGTACTTTTTCTCAATAAAAGTAGCAGAAGAATGTTATTTTCAAATGATAAAGGAAATATTCTAAACCAATATTTTAAATAAAATTATATCTTAAGGGCAAAAATAATTCGAAAGAAATGTTTATTAGAACAGAATGCCATTCTAAGAAATGTAACACTGTAAACTTTATTGAAGTCTTAAAAAGCCAAAATAAAGTGAAATGACATTGTTGTTGTTAGATACCATTGAGTTGAGTACAACTCATAGTGATCCTACGAGTGACAGAACTTAATCCTGTCCTATCCTATATTACTCTCACTACTTCTGATACTCTTGAGCTCATTGCTACAGTCACCACATCAATCCATCTTGATTGGATTCTTCCTCTCTTTTGCTGTCCTAATTTACCCTTCCAAGCATGAGATCCTTTTCCAAGGAATAGTCCTCATTAGAAACATGCCAAAATATGAGAGATGAAGCTTTGTCACCCCTGCCTCTGAGGAACTGGCTACACAGTAACCTATTCATTCTTTTGGCAGTCCATTGGACATTGAGTATTCCTCTCCAAAACCACAATTCAAAGGCATCAGTTCTTCTTATGTCATCCTTATTCATTATCCAGAACTCAGATACGTAGCAAGTAATTGAAAAGATCATAGATGACCTGAATTAAGTGCATCATTGTCTTCAAACTGACATCATTTCTCTTCAGTAATTTGAGGACATCCCTGACTGTAGACTTGCCTGAAGCAATACATCTCTTTAAGCCCTGATGGCTGATCTTTATTGGTGATAAAAAGGGTTTTTAAAAATGGATTTTCCTAAGAAATGAATAAGGGAAGTGACTACTTTAAATTGCTTGAGATTCTAATTATGCTTACCAGTAGAGGGAAAGAACATCTCTTCTAAGAAAAAGATCTGTTACATATAAATGACTTAAAGGTAACTGTTGCTGTTATTAGGTGCTGTCAAGTTGAGAATGATGCATAGTGACCCTATGAACAAAATTTCTAAACCCAAACCTTTCCTGCCCCATCCTCACACTTCTGACACACAAGAGCCCCATTGTAGCAGTCAGCATGTCAATCCACCTGGTTGAGGATCTTGTTCTCCTTTGCTGACCTTCCACCTTTCCCAACATCATGCCCCTCTCTAAGGTATAGCACTGCCTAGCAATATGACTAACATAAGTGAGGCGAAGCCTCATCATTCTTGCCTCCAAAGAGCACTCCAGCTACACGCTCTCTGAGACATATCTGTTTGTTCTCTTCATCGGGATGTTCAGTGCTCTTCTCCAACACCATAGCTCAAAGGTGTCAATTCTTTTTGTCATCCTTATTCACTGTCCAGCTCTCAGATGCATAGCTAGTAATTGGAAAGACTATGGCCTGAATCAGACACTTCTTAGTCCTTAAACTGACATCATTACTTCTCAATAATTTGGAAAGGTCCCTAACTGCAGATTTTCCCAGAGCAATGCATCTCACTGCTCATACCAAGGGTGTTGATTGTGGATCCAAGTAAGATGAAGCTATTGATAGTTTCAATCTCCTATCCATCATGACACTGCCTACTGGTCCAGTGGTAAAAACTTTTGTTTTCTTGATATTGAGACACAATCCTTACTGAAGACTGCATTCCTTGATCTTCTGCGACAAGTGCTTCAAGTCCTCCTCACTTTCACCAAGTAAGGTTGTGTCATCTGCATAACACAGGTTATTGATGAGCCTACCTCCAATCCTGATGCCATATTCCTCTCTTCATAGATTTTGGCTTCTTGGATAACTTGCTGAGCATATAGATTGAACAGGTATGGTTACAGAACACGACCCTGACACACTCCCTTCCCAAATCCAAACCATGCAGTACTCTCCTGCTCCATTGGTACTACAGCTTCCTGCTTCACATAAAGGTTCCTCATGAGCACCAGCATGTGCTCTGGGATTCCCATTCTTCTCAACGTCAGCCACAACTTGTCTTGAACCACAGAGTCAAATGCCTTTGCCTAGTCAATAAAGCACAAATAAACATTCTTCTGGTATTCCTTACTTTCAGCAAGGATCTATCTTACATCAGCAATAATAACCCTGGTGCCATGGTCTCTTCTAAATTCCTCTTCATCTTCCTATCTACGTACTGTTCCAGGTCGTTTTGAATGATCTTCAGCAAAATTTTGCTTGCGTATGATATCAATGATATTATTTGATAGTTTTCACATTCAATTGCATCACCCTTTTGGGGAATGGGAGCATATATAGACCTCTACCAATCTGTTGGCCATACAGCTGTCATCCAAATTTCCTGGCATAGACTGGTGAGTGCATCCAAGACTGCATCTGTATAGGTAACCACCCAATAATACTAAAAGAATATTGGAATGGATGTATGTTGCTGCCAGCCTCATAGGGAAACTTTGTAAACCCAGTAGACTTTGACTATTCAGAAGAGTCTTGCCTCAGTTGTTGTTGTTGTGTGCGGTTGAGTTGAGTGCAGCAGCAGGTAATAATTATCACTGGATGAAATTTTACCATGTAGTCCTACTGAATAAATGTTAAAAATAAGACTCAAAAAAGCTTTATTTTTCACGACTATTTTAATGCGGCCAGGAATATAAGCAGTGAATAAAGCTCAGCAAGTGAAGATTTGCAATATCTGATGCCAATAAAAAGTTCAGAGGCATGCAAAGTAGGAAATAAATAAATAAATAAATTTAAAAATCCAATAAAATTAAATTAACCCCAAACTTATAGAGATGTTAGAATTAACAAGAATTTTAGTCTTTTAATTTTTTCAAAGTTTGTACTTTGAGTACATTTGTTGTTGCTGTTGTGTGCCATCGAGTCCTTTGCGACTCATAGTGACCCTATGTACAACTGCCCTAAACCCTGATCTATCCTGTGCCAATCTCACTGCCTTTGACACACCCATCCTGATTACCCCAGTCATTAAATCATTCCACCTCATAGAGGGTCTTCCCCTCCTGCGCTGTCCCCCTACCTTACCAAGCATGATGTCTCTCTCCAAGGACCTGTCTCTCCTTACAATGTGTCCAAAGTATGTCAGACGAAGCCCCAGAATCCTTGCCTCCAAGGAGTTTGTTCTTATGTGCCGTCGAGTCATTTCCGACTCATAGCGA